TATCCAAACTAGTAATCATAGTAATTGTATCTATAACAAAATTCTTGATTGTGATTGGTTCTCCACAGGCCTATTTGTCACATAATCAGCACGCGATCACATGGGTGTCCAATTACAGGTATCCAATTTGAACTTTTTGTAATTGGATACACACGTGATTTGCACGTCCATTAAGCGTGCTTTAATGGCTTCCTTTGCAATGTTTCCTACAGTTTTCAAAACTTATTAAAAGCGCTACAGACGTTTTTGCTCAAAAGAAGTTCTCAAAAGACATTTTTAATTCCAAAATTTGTTATAGATATGATTAATCAGTAATAAGACCTTGTGTCATACAATTCAGGGAGTAATCGTCCTCATAATTTCAAATCAGCCTTGCGCTTTGCGCTTGTCCGATTTTGAAATTACTCGCGCAATTACTCCCTGCATTGCACTCCACTTGGTCCAATTACTATTACTTTAAATTGTAAAATAACTGGTAGAAATATTTCCTCATGTTCATTAGCTGTGAGCTATGGTCAATTTGTGGTGTAGACCAGTTGAAAATGTGCTTAAGTAATGGAAATGGGTGTTTAAGGGTTCATTTACCGACTAACATACTGTTTCAGGAGGGCGCTCTATGCTGCTTATCAACTGTGCGTGCTGTTTAATCATCTTAATGGCTCAGTATGACATTTTAATTGTTAACAAAAAGCTGATATGATAATATACTTCACGTCATTGCATAATCATTTTGAATGTCATTTTCACTAACATAAGCTATTTTTGAAAGCTTGCAAAATCATAAATTGCTTGTAAAATGATTCTTTGTCAACTGTTGGTGTCTGATCATTAACAGGTTTCTTTATCCATAGTTCTAGACACCTTTAAACCATAGTAACTCCTATATGTGAACAATTCAACTTGTTGACACAAGTTAATTCTTGAAATGCAATAGTTATACCTGAAAGTTCTTTACTCTGTCCATTTTATTTATTCCTTTTCCCATATTCTGTCAGTCATTGTACATGTACATCTATGATTTCACTCAATAAATTATCAATCAAAATGTTTTGTGTTTAAAACTTTCATTTAGTTTAATCCAGTTTTCCTCTTTTCTTTTATCCTTCCTTCCTTTTTTTCCTTATGCATTTGTTTGTTTGTTCCTTTCTTCCTTTCTCCAGTTTTTTGTTTTACTTGTTATTCATCTCTCCTCATTTTGTTCTTAAATTATGGAAAGAAATTGGTCATTGTATTGTTTTATTTATTTGATTTACTATGTTGTGGTTAATAGGAGGAAGAGGAAGGTGAAGAAAGTTTCACTCATTTGGCCCTGAAGTGTGTTGGTCTTCTTGTCCTTGGAGTTGGTTTGGTGAGTAAAATCTGCATTCAGACTTTCTTGCCCTGGGCTGGGTTGTTTGAAAGCCGGTTAATGCTAACCCAGGATTACAAGTTAACCCAAGTATAATTTTTTCTTCTATAAAAATGTTTTCCACTGCTTATGTTTTGTGTAGTTTGAGATTACTCAAGCTCGAAACTGACGGCCAAACAGTATAAACAGAAAACCTCACTGAAAAGTTACAAAAATGAAATAAAAATTCCTGCAAATCCTGAGTTAGCTCAATTGGGCTTTGAACAACCTGGCCAAGTGTTCACTTGCCAACAATACAGTGTAGGGAATTCACACTAGAAGTGTATGATCAGTTTTTTGGATTAAGTTCTCCCTTAAGTTGACCATCTTTCTGACATTACTTGTGTTTACCCTCTAAGACCAGTCATAACTGCATTTGAACAATGTTCGGTCTTGCTTATAGGTGACAATTTTTGCTGATCCAATGTGTGATGTGCTTGATTCACTGACCAATCCAAAGAACAAATCTCACATTCCTATTTCAGGTAAGTTATGTTTAATTTTTATATGCATGTTATATTTTATTGTGTGAAATTTACTTCATTATATCCCATATCTCTCAAAAACTAAAGCTGATAAGGAAGCAGAATAATTACTTTATAACCTTTTGAACTCATCCTTATTCCTGTGGTGAAAAATTGAAAGTTACTCAGGACTACAGGTATTAAATCAGTGTCCTGGTAGGTCTTGGCCTAGATAGTGGTCGGCTCTAGAAAAATCAGTCTGAATATTGACAGCTTCATTTTCCATGTAAATATTTGTATTTTTGTGCAAGATACACTTGCATCATAGTCTTACTCCCCACCTAGAAGTTAAGAATTGTCTTGATTCAGAAATTCATTTTCTGGGATTTTTTTGCTTTAATTTCTTACATTTCAGTGATAAATTTATTACTTTCCTCTCTTATCTTATATGTACTTGATTACAGTATGCTGTGTTTTGTAATCTTGTCTTTTAGCATTCTATGTGTCATTTGTGGTAACCCCCCTCTGCTCTAATGCCTCGGAACTTGTCTCGTCCCTGATTTTTGCCTCCAAGAAGAGGAAAGAAAACATCTCCATGACTTTTGCGCAGGTAATATTGTTTCTGTCTGGGATAAGAGAATTAAACAAGGTGGAGACTCAGACATCTGCAAATGTGATGTTCTTGCAAGTGTGCAGCTTGTTACTGTAATCCAATATCCAGGTTCAAGCCCCCTGGGTCGTGTTTACATGTCATTGGGCTCTAGTGGCCAGCTTTTAGCAAACGTGCAATCTTACTGGTTACTTTGGTGCCAACAAAAATTACCAGTAGCAGCCACAAGGTTATATTGCAAAAACAAAACTACTCTATTCACTCTAGATCTAGTGGTTCAGTTTGCATCAACTCTGAAACTGGGCCAGCCCCAGCCCCAGTGCAACTATCAGTCAATCAGAAAAACAATGTGTTTGCAGTATAATTGTTACTACCTGTAAACTAATGCAAATGCTGTAATCTGATTGGTTTAAAAGTACACTGCCAGGCACAGAAGTGTCCACTGGCTGAAGGTCGTCTAAAACATGACCGTGTATTTTCGTTTCCCTGAAATTTTAGGACTCTTTCAGGGGAAGATTTTGAAACATTATCGGATAAAACTACTTAAATGTTATTTGAAGGAAATTTAGATAGCAAGATTACTCGAGATGAGGTGATTGTTGATTTGACCTCATCAAACTCATAGACAATTCTCCAAAAAAATTAACAAAGGAAATTATGACCTTGACAGGGTCAGCATAGTCTTCCATGATTTTTTTTCTCCATTAATTCTCCTTAGCTTTAACTTTAGCTTGAAGTTCATCAAAAGTATACTCTGCTACAGTACATATCATGTTAAATTTTTCAGCTCTGATCTTCTCAGTGTTGGAAATGTGATCTTACACAGTCTTCCGAGTTTGATACAAAGTATATTACTTCACCCTCATTAGCTATCACCTCATAGAAATCTTGAGCTCTGATGAGATAAACAGTAAGGTTAGGCTTGATTTCCGTCGCTCTCGTGTCTGGTCTACATTCCTTCCCCGAGGAGAGTGGCTTCGGGGAGTAATGCAGGCTCCTCTCCCGAACAGCGGCTGGTAATCGAGCCTACAGTACTTGGTGTGCTGATTTGCGACAGATAATAAGCACATGATCTAATAAATTGTCTTTGTTTCCATTGGTGTTGTAGTTGTATGGAGCTGGCACAATGAACAATACCCTATGTCTTGGCATTTTTGCTGCCCTTGTTTACTTGCGAGATCTGAAGTGGTACTACTCTGCAGGTTAGTCTATATCAGGGGGATGAAAAGCTAATTTCTCCCTACGAAAAAGCACATCAACCAGACAGGTGATGAGAATCAGGAAAATCATCAAGCAGGAGATGTTAAGGTTTATTCCTAATACACGTTGTATTGGTGAGAGCTATTAGAACTATGTAGCAGTTCCTATATTGACTGAAAGGCGAACCGACTGACTGATTGATTGACTAACTGACGGACAGACAGAGGTTGGATGAATAAATTGTCTGATAGAGGATTGATTTCTCAAATTTTCATCTGCAGAGGTGACTGTGATTATCTTTGTGCAGTGGGTTGTGGGAATCGTTGGTTTCCGTTTGACTTACAAGGTAAGCTTCTTTTCAATCAGTTGTGAAACAATAGAAATATCACCAGAAAGGTCTCCTCTCTGTGTCATGTCCTCACCCTAGCTGAGCCTATGTGGTTTCAAGCCATCATAGTAATTTCTTCATCACTATAGTATTAAATTCCCTCTATCTCTCCTTTGAACAAAAATTGCTAGACTGTTGGTTGCTTAAGACCATGATACTGCTTTACTGGGCCATAATGGCTCTAATGCACTTGGTCAGTCCACTTATTTTCAGTATAGGTACATACTTATAAGTCCCAAATATGCCAGTAAAGAGCTGTTTTACAGTCAGTCAGCTATTCAGCAAAAAGCTGACTAAAATCAGGACTAAACTAAGCCAAACATGACTCCTTAAGACCTCAAACATGTTGGTGCTCACAAAGTTTTGTTTTCTTAGCGTCGTTCACACTGGTATTCACAATAACGTAAACTGAGAAATGAAAGCTCAGTTTTTCCTGACGGTGGTTATGCTTATGTCATTATGCTCCGCTTTTGTTGTTCACACTGGTTGCTAAAACATCAGCATGAAGTGTTCTCGCATGGTCCTGCTGTTATGTTGTTATGTCACTAGTGTGAACAAGGCCTTAGGATGTCTTTTATCACATACTCTTTGCATAAAAAAAGCACAGGAGGTCTCTATAAGAGGCTAAGGGCAGTGAGATTCCTTAGAAATGGTGTGCAAAGATATTCTGCCTGGCTCTTCTGGTGAGTCAATAAACAACTAATATTTTTGTTATTTATTCTCTCTTATTTTATGGTGTAGTTGTGGACTGGTGCCATCGTTGGTTCATTGTACATCGTGTCCATTGGCCTGGTTGCTCTTCTGGAAAGCAGTGCCATTGGTTGGAAGTAACTTTCTTCAATCGCCATTTTCACATGATACTATTTGTGGCTTGAAAACTGAAATTCGTACACCAGTTTGCTTCCAAAACTGACATTATATTTAAGTCCATTGGTTATGTTTTTTTCCCCTATTTTTGTGATCTCCGGTATTTTTTCTGCAACTCTTGTTAAATCAATATCTGCGACTGTTCAGGTGGTAGTCTCCATTTTTCCGGTTTTGTAACACGATCTTTCCAATTTTGTCATACAATCTTTCGGAGGATTGTGTGATAATTAAGTTGGAGGCTAACCATGACTGAAGAAAGCAGATTCATTAGTTGTAAATTATTGTACTTAATGTATGTTCAATTTAAAATGCACCAAAGTGTTAATTATTGATATTTTGTTGTCCTGACGGACCCCAAGCTAGGTATGGTATTGTTATTTCACGAATTGCACAATTGAATATGTAAAGCAAGTATGCTTACAAATTTAAAAAACTAACGTTCAAGAACCTCACTGGCCAGTAATGTAAAGGATGTATTTTTTTACCAGTGATCCGTTGGAGACTTTGTGTGAATAAGCGAGTGGGACTTAGTCGGATAGACAGGTTCAACAATTTATGCAAAAAGCAGCGAGCTTTTTGTTCATGAATTTCTCTTGTCTTTCTTGTAATGTAATTGTTGAAATAAACAAGATCTCTTGTTGACATTTGAGTCTTCCTCAGTTTAATACCACCAGTATAGGCAAGGCCTGGCTTGTGCGCTTTTACAGGGTGGTAAAGGGTGACCCCCTCTACTCCTTTAACACCACATCCCTACCCCCACACCCACCCCCACCCACAATATGTAAGTAAAAGCTAATACGCTGGGAAGAGGGGGTATGAATTTCGAAGCTGGGTAGCAAAAGCGCTAAAGAGCCCATACCCGCGATTTTGACCCCATTGATGTTGTTTGCAGGAGCTGGAGAAAACCTTTGTTCTCTTTGCTTTTCCCTAGATTTTGGTAGCAAATACAGATATATCAGGAGCCTCGAGTGGAAAATGCCAAGATGACTTAGAGTTTACCCTTTCACACCACTAAACTATACATATACGAACCATCCTTAATAGGCATACGCTTCCTTAGTAGTACATCAAGATGACAGCCCTTCTGTTGATGATCTTGTCAATCCTGTTTTCAGTGCGATGTATTGACTTCTAACCCAACCCTATTTAGTCTGCGCTTAGAAAACTTACTACTTACTAAAACTACATATTCGATTATAATTTAATGTATATGACGTGTAAAGCATCTAACCGCATTGACTTCGGAGACAACGCGAAAAGCATGACGTCATGTTTTTCTTTAAAAATCTCCGCCAGCTTCGATTAAACGATTTTTCACAAATGTCGGAACGGCTCCAAAATTGCTTCGAAAAAAGCGAAGAATATATGGATACGAACAAATTAAAAGATTTTAGTATAAAAAATCTAAGTATATTAAATCGAAAATATCAGTAAAACAATATGAAACTTAAAAATCCAAATTGAGGTAAAACACACCTTAAATACCTGGTTGACAAAGAAACATGAGG